TGGTGGACTACCAACGCATGCCCAATGGGATGCACAACGGCATCCACCAAGTGCCGCGGTACGTGGAAGGGGCTGCGGCTATGAACGGCAATGCGCATCTCAGCCACAGCTTGCAGAGCATCAACCTCAAGACTGTCGTTCCAAACGGGGAGATTGGCTCCGACATTGGGGCCAGCGCCATTGCTGTGTCATGCCCGCCTGAGCACCAGTGGGGTAATACAGCCAGCCATCCACACTCACAGCAAAATCATAGACTCAGAGAGCAACAGCAGGGTATGGTCTCGCAACAGCAACAGCAGCAGCAAGGGGCATGTGCATCGCCGCCTAGTCTACCTCCTCTCTTGCAGCACTCCATGGCTCACGACATGGCGGCCGCCGCTGTGTCTGTTTCCAGTTCTCCGACAGCTCAGTACACGTTATCCCCGACCAAGGGATATTCCAACCAGCATCCGCATGTCGCACACCTGCGGCATCATAACCATCACATGCCCAGGCATCCCTCGCAGTACAGCAACGGCGACGTGCACATGAACAGGCACCCCAAGTCACCCGTTCACAGGTCACACGAACGTTCACAGCCCCTGTGTAAACAGCCGCAGCCGCACCATAACCACATCATCCAGACACAGCTGCCTAACCCGTCTGTGGTCAGCATCATGTCGGACAAATACCCAACCCCGCCCTCCCAACACAGTCAGGGCGGGTCGCCTTGTGCGGACAACAGCCCTCACCTGGGGGTGTTCCCGGAACAGTACCTGACGCCGTCGCCAGAATCACCCGGTCAGTGGTCCAGCTCCTCCCCTCACTCCTCGGCCCACTCGGACTGGTCGGGGTCAGAGGGCATCTCCAGCCCCCCTGGCCCTACAATGAATGGCCATATCCCAGACTCGATACCAATACAGTATAGCCGCTCGGCACAGGTCTTCATCTGATCCAGTGTGGATGATGCTGTATATTTATATATATTGTACATTGTGGGGACGCTGCATATTGTATTCCACAGACAAGGAAATGGACAGTGGGCTGTCGAAATATATACATGTCGCAGTCCTGCGTCTTCTTCCCCGTGTCTAGAACCCAGCCTCAAATGGTGAGTTTGGCTAGGTTTTTATGTGAACCAATCGTGAACAAGAAGATGTAGTATGTACTTTTACAAAATGTGTTAATTCTTTAATGAAAAACCAAAAGATAAAATGCCATCCCAATGATTTTAACTGTATAACCCTTTTTTATACCACTGTGCTGGTCCACGAAGTGTTTGTTTTCGATCATTTTTTTTTTGTGTGATCAAAAATTCCAACATTTGAGTACTATTTTAAAGTGTGAATAAAGAGTTCTTACCTGTTCCAGTTAGCGACATAATCATGAGTATGCCAAAAAAAAAAACCTTCATCTTTCCGTTTTAAATACCTTGAATGAAAAGGAGATAATGATTTTAACTAATCAAAGCATTCCTTTAAAAGTTCATTGCTGAAAACATTCAGTTCCTGAGAAGGTTCATGTAGCTATCCGTGTATTTCAAACCAACGACCAGTAGATGTTGAAACAGTTTTCCAATTCGGACCAAACGCTCCCCAGAAGTTAAAAACACAACAAATGAACCATTCACTAGCAAAGATTCGATGAACAAAAAAAATGTAAACAGCAGAAGACAATTTTAAGTAGGATTATTTTTGATATTGGGGATTAGTGGTTTTAATATAAGTAGAATCTTAATATAAATGGAAATCTAAGCGCCTTTTTTTATATATATATATTTTGTGTAAGATATTGTATTAAAAACAACAACAACGCATGCTGAGAACTCGTGGTTTGGTGGCCAGAGATGAACACTACTTTTCTCTGTAAATAGATTTCAAACCAGCAGGCAGTAATTGTATTCATATGCTTTAAGTTATATTTTAAGGAAGTGTAGATCGTAATTGTACAACTGTTGTAAAGTGTAGTTTTCCATCAAGCGAAAGGGGGATTTTGAAAGAGGACGAAACGTACCTTGAACAGTACACCTTGAGAATTTCCAATAGAAATTGTGATCGTTGAGGCCCATAAGCAAAAAATAAAAAGATACCCGTAGCCCCTGTTTGTGTCTGGAGATACCATAGTACAGTGGAGTTTTTGTATTGGAAGGGCTTTAGCTTTCCCAATGCATTTGAAATACTGAAAATAAAAAAAAGGGAAGTCACAAATGTGTCCAGTATTGAAAAAGCAAATGCTTGTGTTTGTTATAATGCTAGAGGAATTTTCCCAATGTTTTCCTCCACTGTTGCTTCTGTTGCACTGTTGATTTTTGCCTCAACTTTCTTAGTTTTTGTTCCCCCCCCCCCAACTTAATGCGCGGACAATCTTTTCGATTTTGAAGCAAGCAGATAATTATTTGTCTCTGTGTAAACGAGAGCGACCGACAGTGCCGCAAATTTGTTTTCAAACATGTAAAACTTGGGGAATGCACCTTTTAGCAAAATGTTGCCATGTAAAGTTTGAATTTCTTAGAACGTGTAAAAAGTCTTGTACAAAATAAAAGACCCTGATTAATTGGAAAAAAAATATATAAGACAATGAACTTAAAAGAGTCCAATGATTGCTCACAATTTTAAAGCTTTTGTTTACTGTTCCTATGAAGTGCTTACTATGGTTTGTTCTGTTGCATGATTTGGGATCAAGTTCAAAGAGTTGCATAGTTGGTAATCGTATAATCAAACACCAAACTGAAAAAAAATCAGCTGTTAAAAGAAGGCAGCGTGAAAGCTGGTAGCCAAGACTTCAGTTGGTAACCAAGACCATTGCTAGTACCCGAGACAAATTGAACCAATCATAAAAGCTGGTAACCAAAACAAACTGGTACCCGGGACATTATGCAGCTCTATGAACTTTTTCTCCCACTTTTGGCACTGCCAGCTGTAGGGTTATAGAGATTATTTTGTTTTTGTAAAAGAAAAAAATAATGAATATATATTGACCAGTGTAGAATCGACACAATCTCTAAGTGTTATTATTTTTCTGGTATGAGAATTATACATGTATAATTGCACTTAATTGTTTGGGTACTTTTTGTATGGTCAGCTATCTTTAGTACTTTAGCAATATACAAAGCACTGCCTTCTTTGTTTAAATATATTGTAGAGTTGAATTATTCTAAATTGATTATCTTTGTTTTGAGTTCACAGCAGACTCATCCAATTGTGTACTTAATTGTTTCGTTTGTTAAAGTGTAACGACCTGTTAACGGTTTTGTATATTTTTTTTTGGCAACTCATTTGCACAAAGAGTTAAAGTTCAAATGGTTGGAGGCATGGTGGAATTCCTGCTTTGGCCCAAATATAACGAGCTGTACAGTAATCATTGTTCTTAACGTTTGCATTGTTAAATATTACATTTGCATATCCTATAACAGTGTCCCATTTGTTAATGTGGCTAAGGTTTGGTCCAAACAAACTGAAACTATCTTGCTTTCCGGGTTCATAGTTATGTACTTAACTTCAGTATTTGAAACATCGTTAGTCCCCATTTTAGGGGGTTTATTTGTTTTGCTTATAGTAACATATTTAATTTGTCATGTTTCACACATTTCTTTAAAAATTCGATGTTTGCTAAAAAAAAATAATTGACATGTGCCTTAATGCTAGGCAGACGTATATATGTTAGTGCCTGTCTACTATAAACATTTTTGGCAGGGCTGTGTGTATGAATGAAGAGCAATGTTCTTGACCGTATTTGATTGCTCATGTCATTTAGGAAATACGAAGTCTAAATTTTCTTCTTTTTATCGAGCCATTTAGAAATTCTTTCGAAGCAAATAAAGCTGATCCAGAAATTTCTTAAGAATGAAGTTTCCAGTTGGGTACTAGTTAAAGCGAAATTGTGTGTAACTTATGAAAGACAAAAGGGACTGAAAAAAAGGAAAGATTCAGCTAAAATGATGATCAGCTAACGTGAAAGAATTTCTAACTCTGAAATGGCTGTCTTATGTGTACACAGCATAAATGCCGAACTGTGAAATATCCCTGCTTAGTGAGCATAGGTACTTACATATTGTTTACATAATTTGCACAAGTTTCCAAGTGTAAAAAAAACAAAAATTCTTCTGGCTGTCTTACTTAAAATTTTTCTTAATGTAAGCATCTGCCTAAGACCATTGTTATGTATTGACTGTTTTATATTTCGAACATTATGGTACTTAAAAAAAAAAACTCATTGTATTTTGCACGTTCCTGTGTCTTTTGATTTGGAGAACCTTGTATATCTGTTTGGCTTGAGTTTATAGATCAAAATAAACTGTGCAAGAGGCACACGAGAATATTAAGAAAAAAACTGGATGACTACTCAGATTTTTCCCACGGCGGTGTGAAACACGTCGTGGGCTTGAGCTACTTATGTCGGTTGGTTGGTGGGTTGAATGGACACATTACTCTGCCATATATTGTATTCATACAACTCGAGTATTACAGCTTTGCAAGTCTTACAGCTTTGCATTCAAAGACTGGTTTTGCAAACACTGTTGCGCATGCAATCTAATTTGCATACTTTGAGCATTTTAGATCACGCCCCATTCCTTTTCATTTTCTGTACTATCGAAGTATATATTTCTGTACTATCGATGTATATGTACCAGTACGGCCCAGGAGCACGGACGGTGCCGTATAGCCATCTTCACGTTACCCGGCCTGGCTGCTACCCGGCCGCCGTGGGTTGCACCACTTGGTGCTTGTTTTCATTCAAGATGTATGAGAAAATTGCTAAACCTCAGCTTGTCCCCCTTAAAAAAAACGATAAAATAAACCTGTTTCTTGTTCTGATAACTTGTCCTCTGATACTCTCATTTCCTCGTTTTTTACTTCTCATGAATGCCATTACAAATTGAAAAACACTGTAGAAAGTCTTGTGTGATTTGGAATTTCCTCGTTTTTTCCCCTGAATTCCCAGTTGCATGCCTGCTAAATTGGCCCTGATCCATAACATGGTGCATCTCATGAATTAAACATTGAAATATACTCAACTATATCTTCATCTTCATTGAAAGCCATACTGGTTGCATTGAGGAATTAAAACTATTTCGTGCAGATTCAGTATGCTTTTCAACTTGCATTTTTATTGTCAAACAGCAGAAATCTTAATATTGAAGGAAATACTTTATACAGGAGTTGATTTCTTCACTGCAATCTTTGATTTCAGTGATCATGATTATAAAAACTATTGCACAAAACTTGTGCGAACTGGTAATTTTTTTGTAATTTTGCAAAGATTAACTTGCCACACAGGATAAAAAAACTTTGCCAACTGCGGCACACATCACACAACAGCACTGAGTAATGGTTGAAAGGCTAGTCCATATAACACACAAAAATGACAGCAAAACGGAACACAGAATGTCAATAAGTAGTGGTTAGTTATCAATAGTAAACCTAAATTTCACACTAAAATTCAGTATGCTTTTCAACTTGCATTTTTATCATCAAACAGCAGAAATCTGAATTTTGAATGAAACACATGTATTTGACAGGAGTTGACTGTCTTCACTGCAATCCTTGATTTCAGTGATCTTGATAATAAAACTATTGCATAGAACTGTTGAAGGAAATACTTACAGGAGTTGATTTCTTCACTGCAATCCTTGATTTCAGTGATCATGATTATAAAACTATTGCACAGAACTTGTGCGAACTGGTAAATTTTTTGTAATTTTGCAAAGATTAACTTGCTTCACAGGCTAAAAAGACTTTGCCAACTGCGGCACACATCACACAACAGCACTGAGTAATGGTTGAAAGGCTGGTCCATATAACACACAAAAATGACAGCAAAGCGGAACACAGAATGTCAATAAGTAGTGGTTAATTGTCAATAGTAAACCTAAATTTTCACACATTGTTTTTGAGTTGAGCGGTCTTCTCAGAATTGCACTACTTTTAAAAACATAATCACTGATCCTCGTCGTGCACCAATACTTATCTCAATGCTGCAAAACCTGCATAATGTTTTAAATTTAAACTCTAATTTTCACGAGGTATGAATCCGGGCGATTCACAATGCAGTGCGCCACCAAGAGTTTGCCATGGAAAGTTCATTTTTTTCAGTGCATTGAGATAGATAGCCGACAAATTCGCAGCGTGGGACATTTGAAATTGTTAGTTTTCCGGTTAGTAGTTTCATAAACGTATTATCGAGTATATGTTTGCCCTTTTCCATCCTTTTTATCAATATGGTGTTTTTTTTGTAAGGTGGCAGAACGCTATATGCCCCAATCTATAACAAATTAGCTCAAGTTGTCCACTGACACTCATCCAAATGGGCCATGTTTTGTTGAACATAAGCTTGAAAAATTGACTGTCCATGGCGAACTCTTGGTGGCGCACTGCATTGTGAATTGCTCGAATTGATGAAAGGCCAATTAGTGAAAGTTCAATTATTTAGGTATGTGACAAGCATAACGCTTGTATCATCAAACGGCTTGAAAGACACATTTTACACAGTTAGGCCCTTATCAGGATTAGTTTCCTGCTCAGTCTTTTCATAACATTGTTCTCTGAAACGCTTTGCATAATGTTCAGGTTTCACAGTCGAGAAGGTTTCCGTCGGGTACCTGAGGCACTTGTACAGGTACTCCATCTTTTTCTTTATGCCATACTGAGTCAGGACGTCGATGATGCCGACGAAATATCGATCCTCGTCGCCGTCGATGATATGCAGGGGGTTCGCTATGTCCGGGAGTAATCTTTGGTTGCGCTCGTTGCACTTGTCAAGTTGGAATCGGCTGGTGCATTCACAGTAGTTTGTGCCCAAGTTCTGGGCTTTGGGCTCCAAATTTAAAGAGTGTTGAAGCTGGGAAGTACGGGTGCCCTGTATGTCAAGCTCTGGTTGGTTCCTATTATCTTCTACCATACCTGGGAGAGAGTTTCTTTCATTTTCACCCCCAGTTGTTGTGACCCCTTGCATTTCCTTGCCATGTGTCTGCTCAGTTGTATCGTTCCCGATTTCATCTCCTGCAGAACTTAAGTGATGAGTTCCTGTCCTAACTTTTCCACTTGCTGTGCGATGGTGACCAGCGCTGTGGCTGGCATGTCGCTGACTGTCACTGCTCACATTGATATCGAGTATTTCTTGAACCATTCGCTCAGTGTTGTCGCCCGTCTTGTCGGTTTCTTGGGCCTGAGACTGTTTGGTGGGCTGGCTGGCAGGCTGTTGGTTCTGGATGTTGGATCGCCTGTTCCATGTGGGGAATCTGCCACCACAGTCAGGGCACACGCTACTGGGACTGTCGGACACGGATTTTATTGACCTGCAAAGTTGCCAAAAAAGTAAAACGTTTGGCATTTTGTTAACATTGTAAAGCAAAGACCAAGCATCCCATGTAGATGCCTGCAATATCATATTTCACCTTTTTTAATATAGCTGTGCAAGATCTACTAATGATTAGACCCAGTAACTGGGGCGCTAAAACTTAAAAAAAGAAATATTTGTCTGTGGTCGGTCGTACAAGCTTGTAAAACCGACCAGAGACAAAATTTGTAAAAAGGAGTTCTAGCGCATCAGTTACTGGAACTAAATGATGATGACACCATGCGAAACAGGGCTATAGCTATGAGTGCACTCCTGTTTGTTGGCCTTGTTAACCCTTGTTAACATACTATTGACCTATCGCTGTTTGCGAGTTAGCCACGCCCCTTAGACATACCTATGGAATTTATGTCACTACGTTTTGTTTGTCTCAGATTTTGCGCGTTCCGCGTCCATTTGAATATCATGTAATTGAATAATGTTTCACAACTTGCGTTGACGCGATTCCAACACTATTCTACCACGACAGGTCAATTGCTGCTAGTTGTGAGAAACATTTCAAAAGGCAACAGATTTACTTTTAATGCATCGCAGAAGTGTCTTACAAAACCTGACATATTCTAACACACTGCAAAATAAAATTGACATTGTAAAAGAAATGAGTGTTTTGAATTCTCCATTGTGATGTCCTTCATGGGCTACCATAACACTCTAGACGGCTACAGTAATAGACTTTTTCTTTAAAATACAGTTGAGAAACCAGTCATGTCTCGGATTTCAGTGGTCATGTTGAACTTTCTAAATTACCTCCTTGCTCTGGACACCACGTCGGCCAGCTTATCCGATGTCTTCTTTTCGTCGGCGTGGAGTTTCTGAATGCCAAGCAGCAGGCTGTAGTCCATGATGCCTTGCTCTTCTAGGAACCTGCTGTCGATGTCAACTTGCCTCCGGAACCAGGATGCCTGGGCTCCTTTGAAGAAGGCATGAGGAGGAAGACAGATAAAGTATGATTCTCTACTCCTACAAGACAACGTTGTTTTGTGATAAATCACATGAGCTATTGAAAATTATACAATGGTGTATACAATTGCAATGGGCACTATCAAAATATAGATTGCCTTATAAATTTCTGTGAGGCCTCCTTAAAAGTATAAAAAAGCAAATTAAATTTTGCAAAAACCGTCGGTTAAATGTTATAACTAGGCACACATTTATGAAAACAATTGATGTAATTTTTTTATCCGTAAAAAAAGAAAATCAAAGTTACTAAACAATCAAAGTTACTAAATTTAGCTTTAAAGACAATTGGTGAAACTTTCACTATGACCATGTTCTCCCTTATACATTTTCGCATGTTTCTTATAACTTTTCAAATTTAATAATTGGCGAACTCAAAAAATAGCGGGTTCCAAAAAATAACTTTTCCCCCTGAATCCTGGAACCACAGTTAAGGGGTCTTTTGTTTATTCAAAGGCCTGTCACAAATACGGTTTGTAGATTTACTATTCTCATTATCAATAATGCATTTATTCCCTACCTATGTTGATCTTTCTTCCATCAAAGTTATTGTCCTTGAGAACAATGACTTCTTTGCTTCCTTCTTCTAAGGGTCGAACATAGCGACTGGCTGAGCAACCCTTCAAGTCATACCTGATTTAGAAAAAGACATTTCATTGGCTGAAGGCAAGCCTTTGAGTCATGTCAATATGAAACAAGACAGGCGATTGGCTGAATGACTCACATATTCTACTCAGACTGGCTGAGCAACCCTTCAAATCATACCTCATATAGAACAAGACATTTCATTGACTGAAGGCAACCCTTCAAGTCATTTTAATTTGAAACGAGACAGGTGATTTGCTGAACGACTCACATATACTCTACTCAGACTGGCTGAGCAACCCTTCAAATCATACCTAATATGAAAGAAGACATGACATTGGCTGAAGGCAAGCCTTTGAGTCATTCTAATTTGAAACAAGACAGGTGATTGGCTGAACGGCTCACATATTCTACTCAGACTGGCCAAGCCACCCTTCAAATCAATACTACTATGAAAGAAGACATGTCATTGGCTGAAAAGCAACCCTTTGAGTCACTTTGTTATGAAACAAAATTAAGACATGTGATTGGACTACTCACATATTTTACTGAGACTCATAAAGTAAAACTGCATTATAACCATCTATTTTCAAACCTTGAATGGTAAATATAAAAGAATTAAATCAGAAGACATAACCACATTAAGTTATTTAAGCTAATGGTTTACATACTGAGGCATGGAAAACTGAATTTCACATTTTGTGCTGGGGTAAATATCTCTATACATGTATCTTCATTGACATTTCATTTTCTCTTTTTTTCCCGCATAAGCAAAAAACTATAAGATGGATATTTTTCAAAAAGAAAGATGGAGGTATAACGTTGACGCACACTGATCAATACGTTACCTTTCTGTTATCCGTTCATCAGGGTAGAAAACACTCTGCATTACTGTAAAATAAAGCTGAAAAAGGAAAAACGGAAACGTTCTTAGATGCCACTGGGACTAAAAGAATGACAACAATTCTTGTTGATGCAGTGAAGAAAGGGAGAGCTCACGAGTCCAAAAGTGGCAATTTATGTATCATTTATTATTTTTTTTTATTTGCTCCTACTTTTAGCATGATTAATATGTTGTATATTTTGTATGGTTTTACGTGAAAGTGAACCGGCTGTATACTCAATTTATAAGATGAGGTTTAATGAATATAGTGTATGTTACCAAAAATCATACCAAACATGAAATGGCAACCAATATTTTGACACAGCCGCAACTCAACAATTTAGTCTTACACTGGACTTAAAATTTTAACAAAATGTGGAAGAAACAGGACACATAGTTGAGATGATGTCATAATAATAATCAGTAATCGGCATTTGTATAGCGCTTTTACATGGAGCTAGGGTATCAAAGCGCTATAGAATTATTATTTTCCCTGTTTCAATGGGCAAACACTCCTGAAACCTTCTCAGCTCCCTGGGGAGTATATACAGCTTGATGCTGCCTGTTAGGCGCAAGGAAGCTAAATCAACCATGCACAATAACCATCTCTGCCCTCACAGGTACCCATTTACTCCTGGGTGGAGAGAAGCAATGAGTGACAAAGCGCCTTGCCCAAGGGCACACGCACCATGACCCCAGGCTGGACTTGAACCCACAACCTGCAGAATTACCCGCAGACCACGAATCCAATGCCCTTAGCCACGAGGCCACAGCACTCCACATGTTGAACTCTAGGATGAAATTGAAATGACTGATTCACACAAGACTTTGTTTTAAATAATACCGTGACTTACCCCTTTACTGCCACTCATCTTGATGTAGTAACAGCCCATGATCTTGACCAGCAATGAATGAGGGAAGTCATGAAAATGCCTGACAAGGCGACGCAGGAATTGACTCCTCAAGAAAGCGATGTCCTGCGACTTCTCTGTCTTCATTATGAAGGCTTTGTTGTTGCTGAACACAAAAATAAATTATTTCCAATCTCAGATTTCAAAAACTCCTTGACAACAGACTTAATCATCTTGATTAGATATAGTGATTACTTTGTGTTAGGGGAACCTATGTTCGCTTAAAATTATAGTACAGAAGACAATATCAGGCAGACATTAATTGTTCTTGTTTTAATTCCATCTAAATAAGGCAATTAAGTCCAAAGTCCGAGATAAAACCATGTGCAAATGATATTAAAGCAGCTTGTCTTCTCTACTGGGTAGCATTTTGAACTGATTTTCAGCTCATCAAACACTACAGTTGCTGAGCTATATACAGAAAAATGGCTTTAGTATGAAGCCCGATCGAGAAGGTTGGAAATTTATTTCGTTGGTTCTTTATTCTTTGGAACGATTTACAAATACTTTCGCATGATTTACTAATTCGTTCGCACGATTTACTAATTCGTTCGCACGATTTACTAATTCGTGTGCACAAGTTACTAATTTGTGCTGGTGCTCTGATTGGCCATGTTGTGGGAGCGATGTAGTAAAGCTTGGAAAAAAAACAGCAAATAGTGGGAAGGAATAAGTAAATCATGCGCACCATTTAGTAAATCATGCGCATGATTTAGTTTATAAACTGTACAGCACCAAACTGCCCTTCCCTGTGCGAGCGCTCAAATCCACCCTAGCACTTTGTTGTTTTATGGATTCATAAAGTGAATAAACACAATGTAATACAATTTAGTACAGTGCTAATTAATACCACTCAAATAAGAATTAATTTGAGTGTGTTACGGTAAAATGAGTAAAACTAATTTCGCAGTGGCTATTGTTACGGCAGCCGTAATGCATTTCCCATTTTCTATCGTTACGGTAGACTGTAGACCCGTGAACGTGGCTTGTAAACTACATACAACGCCACATTCACGGGTCTAGGTAGACTGCAACTTTTATAAAAACATGAGAAGAAAATATAAAATTAGAAGGAAAAAAGTGAATTTGAACGTTATGAAATTCGAACTCGCAACCTCTTATTTCCCTTTTAAAAAAAATCTTCCAAAGCCTCAGGTTAGAAAAGGAAAAAAATTCGAGTGCAAAACTGAGATGCGAACCCGCAACCTCGCGGTGCAAAATCCTACCCTTTATCGACTGAGCTGTCGCAATGCTCGCTAAAACGTGGGGAAACAAATAATTATATACCTGCGTGCGTATCAAAAAAGTATCGTAGAGGGCGCTAAACAACGGCTGCCGTAACGATAGCCACTTCGAACTAATTTATTTGGAACTTGAAAGTGCCTCATATTCGTATAAATCTTCCATCAAATTGCTTACCACAAGAAGAACATCATGCCACTCTTCGAGGAGGTGATGAATTCCAGGCAGGGTACAGGCGGGCCGGAGGGTGCTAGGGACTCCAGGTATTCAGTGTCTGTTACCCCAACCAAGGCACGCAAGGAGGCGAAGACCTTGGGAGCGTAGCAGCGGAATTCAAATTGCTGACATGAAGTAAAGGACAAGATTAAGTCTAATTGCAGTATACGCACTGCTCTATCAGATTTGAATTCGATGGGCCATTCCACCAGCTGACCCTGGCAGACTAAGTGGTGTGCCGTGGTTAGGACATTAATCAGCACCGAACTAGAAGTAGGTGGTCATGGGTTCGAGTCCCTCCCGAGTAAGCTTCTTAATTATTTTTTTTCTCACATAACACTGATTATACAGTGCCAAGGGCGTAAATCCAGGGGAGGTGGGAGGGGAAGGGGAGAATATCTCCCCCACTTTCTGATGGGGGGGGGGGGGGGGAGGGGGATGGATCATTGGATCATCCCCACCCCCGCCCCCACCCCCATGTGAGAAACCAAAAAACTCTGATTTTGAGGTTAAACAATTTTTCCAACAGTCTAAGCGCATTATCAAACAGAGAACATACAAAAGCTTTTTACTGCACCGTTTTGATGTAAGGTTAAGGGACTTAAGCACAACGTTGCAAAGATGTAGATTGTACATCCTAAACCCCCCCCCCCTCCTTGCTCTCTTTGGGTTTTTTGGAAGGATTTATTTTAGGATTATTGGTCATCTCCCATCCCCCACTCGCCGACGACGATTTACGTCGCTGTACAGTGCTCATATGTTGGTGAGAAGCAAAAACTGAATCAAAATCGCGTAAATTTTTCCCTGTAAACCGGCTCAACCTCAGAGGGGAACTGACAAAAAGTAATGTCATTTACCTTTTTAATATCTTTCTCAAAGTGCTTTTGTGTTGTGACTTCAAGATAGTCCTCCTCCTGGTGTGTCACACTTTCTACCTGGGTGAACATAGATGTCAAACAATTACTTGAAAAGATCACTTTCAATTGCAATCAAATAAGCCTTCTGGCACAATAAATCCAGTCTTCTTTAGCAGGAAATAAATACATTCTAAAACCCAGTAGAACACATGATAAAGAAATTAATTGTACCAAAAATATAAAAATACAGAACAAATAAAAGTTCCTTTCAGGGGAAATTAGGAACACTATTTGAACTTAAATTGAAAAAAAAGAAGAAACTCTTTATTCAGAAAGTTATTAACATTTTAGAAAATCTTGGACATTTTCTCACCAGACTAACTTTTGTTTAACTACTATAACATGTCCCAAGAGGTTATTTGCCAGAAGTGGAGTTTTGATGAGGGTTGGGGGATGTGACCAGAGGGGTGGGGATTCAGATGGGGGGGGGGGGCAGTGTTGAGGTAGGCTGGTGTACTGCTACTCCCCACACCCGAATTGTGCCTATCCCCCTCTTTCCAACTACCCCATGGCCATAATTGTGGTCCAAGTATACCCCAAGGCCAATAAGCCAGCATGGTGTGAGGGGTGGTCTTTTTCATTGAAAACTGGACCCTTTTATTAACATTCAAAAATGTACGATACCACAACTCATGCGGACAAAGCATCAACAATAAACCAGTTAAAGTACTTTAAAAGTTTTATAATTGGATTTAGTTATGATTTAAATGGACATCTAAAAAATTAACCGTCTAATTTGGAAGGGTTGTTTAATTGACCACACCCCCACGTCCACTGGCTTTGGCCCTGTACTCCCCTCCCAGGACTGCACCTCTTCGTCCACCTTCGATCCTCCATCATATCTCACCTCAGAGGTAGGGTGTGGCTCAATGCAACCCCTCATCCCCATCTGAATGCATCGGGAGACATTGTACAACCGGTGCTGCTGGTCTATCTCAATGATGCCTCGGTGACTCCACTGCTGCTTGGCCTTTCGAACCAGTGTTGCAAAACTGGCCGCCTCCTTCTGGACACGCCCATCCGGTGGGGATGATGAAGACGGCAAAGTTGGACCCTCCGTCATATTTTTTATTACAGTCAACAAAAAAGACTGGCGTTCTGTGTAAAATAAACAATCTAGTTGATTGCAGCATTTACATACAGCCTCAGAGAGAAAGATAAACAAGTGAACAAATTGACTGTATTACTAGGGGGGGGGAGGAGCGCTGTTCAAGTCCAACGATCATGAACACTATAGTACAGAATAGTGTACAAACAGACCCGCACCCCAGCTGGCTAATAGTTCTAATGTTGTGCACAGTTGGGGATTATTACCGGTGTAATTGTCACAATTTTTTCTGGGTTATCACAGCTGGGGCGGGGGGGGGGGGGGGGGGGGGGGGGGAGTCACACTATTTAAAAATAAATTTCAATGGAAAAAAAACAGAGTCTGAGCTTTTTTTTTCCCGATCCCACAATCCCCCTTTCTAGATACAGCACTTGGTAGACCTACGTTTCCTGGTGGATGCCTTACCAACTCCAATTTAGTTGTTAATTTGGATGATTACTGGTGACCTCACAAACGTTATTATTTTCCAAAGGAGTAAGGCAAAACAGGTTAGCCAAGGGTCCTTATTTCTTTGACAACAATCACCGTCTTGAATTTTTGTTTGGAAACTTTCATAACATTTCTTAAATGTGTTAGACAGAGGGTTATCGTTTTCATGATATTTTTGTTTGTTGAGCAAGGTAAATATTCACTCTTTCATCCCCCCCCCCAGTTAACTTGGAATTTTAAACTGAATTGTTTATTTCAACGGAATAAGCTTAATTTATCAGCTTGTTGCATATTCCAAAAGTTAAATGCCTGCACACCAGTTGCCCCTGACAATTTTTCAAATATTTTCAGTATCATGAAAACAAAATAACTACAATGTAATAAAAGTTTGCAAGAGAAAGAATCCTGGAAAGAGTGTAGTAGGACGCCACTTCTTTGGTTGTGGACAAAGTCTATGGAGAGTCCAGTGCATTTTCAAAGTTTTTTCTAAAAGTTTTGGAAATGTTTCTCCGAGTCCGAGGTCCAGATTCATGTCTTTTTAACATTTTTGCAAGGACAGACCTTCATTGACATAATGGTGAAAAAAAGTGGCATCAGGATGCAACATTCTTTCCAGAATACTTAATTTTGTATCTATTAAACTTGGCACTTCGCAATCAAGGCATACCATATCAAGCAATGAGAAGATATTCCAATCCACAGTGTTGAGTGTTTCCAACAATGGGAGTCATGTTGTGTACACCAGTGCCAGGGTAACTCATCCTGCACGTTCAATCACCAGGAATGTCTGTACATTGTAGTACATTGGTAGTGCATGTACAGAAAGGGACAGGTGAGTTACACCTGCCAAGGCACAATAGCGGTGCTGGACTGTTCCACTTTTACAAAAGGTAACTCTAAACTCCATGAAGTGATTTTCATATGAGGGGCAATTTTAAGAGCTTAATTCAGTGTATTGAAACGTAGGGAAAGTAACATTATTGGCCTTTGAGTGGTTTCTTATTAATTGTTGTTAATTTCAATCTGGTGTTATTCAGTCATTAGTTAATCTAAAGTTTGAGAAAAATGATCATGCACCAAATTAGCAGAACTCGTATTGACTGGACAGTCTTGTTGCAGTACGTCGACAGATTTTACATTTAATGAAGTTGGAAATATAATACTTGAGTATACATGTAGCATGCTCTAAAAACCATCAAATTCGCTTTGAAATGTGATGTTGTACCACACGTTGTGTAGCATATGATGCAGTACGTACAGTTGTGCCATGGGGATGAAGTCTTTGAGGCAGGAACAAGTGGAAAATATTTGTTTCAACAACTGTCACCTACTATAATACACAATATCTTTATTAACAACCCTGTTTAGGCAAACATAATTATGATTTATAAAATCTACTTTTTTTTAAAAGACGGGCCTTCAAAAGGACTTTGATGAATATTTTTAACATTTAAACTGAGATATTATTGCTGATGATGTTTGAAGGCAATTGTGACGACAATTCTTGTAAACGCATTTTTTGGACGAGACAGGTTTTAGGGTCATTGTGTTTAAATGGTGATATTGTTTGAACGGATTGACCAATTTCAGTATTTTTTTTCATCTAAAAGTAGCTTATGACATTGGCTTTCCAGTCATTATTATTTTTGGTGCTACATATTTGTTGAAATATGAAATATAATTTTTGGGGTTTGGGTTCCGCTTTTTTTGACTCGCCCTGTATTTTCATTAACTGATTCAGAAAATAAAAGGAAACTTGGATGCGGCTCTTCTTTTTGAGGAATTATGTCACGCACACTGCCCCAACCAGCAACCAAATCCCTACTGGACAAAAATGTCCAAGTCTGCATTCAAGTGTACCATGTCTTTTGGATCTGTTTTCATGAGACAAGGAGTCTGCTGCTAGTACACGCAATGAAATTAAGATATACGCCACAACAAGAGCTATCAATGTAATTATCTTGCCAGGAAATTCCTAAGTGCAGAATCTAATTCAATCCAGTCTTCCCGCACATACACGGTTAATTACATTGTACACAATTAGATGGCGTATGACGCACGCTTAAACAAATATTTGTGCATCAATGGCTATGGCACATCAGCATGGCAAGTTGAGGAATGAGGAAAATTAGCAAATAGAAAAAAACAGTCTTCTTTTGGTTTGAGTGATAAACTAACAAACACACACGTCAAACTTTTTTTCACAAGGGTAAGCATCAATTTATTGTAACCATACCGTACAGTACTTTCTGCATTTTTGCTTGACTAACATGGATCTCGTTTTATAGAACTGATTTTACAATTTCTTCACACTTTCTGTTCTGAAAACCATAATGTGTAGTTCTAAAAAAAAAAAACCCAGAGAAATTCTTTTTCAATCAGTAATAAGTTATTTTTATGTCTTTATTCATTTCTATAAAACAATGCATAAATATATACTTTTATTACTTGAAGACTTGAAACATGTCTGAACAACACACAAGCTTTTTTCAGGGCAGAATGCAATTAGATTTTTACCGTCCTGCCTGCACTTCTGTGCAACCAGAACAAACAGTTTTGTGGGTCTTTTTCCTTCAGTTTGTTTCCAAGCCTAAATCCTTGCCCTTTTTTTATTATTTCATAAAGTTTAAACCCAGAGAATTAAACAAAATATAAAACAGATTTACATTCATTTGTACAAAATAAGACGAGTAGAGCTGTTTGTCCATCATTTGCTTTTCTTCTTCTTCGCTAGCGTGACTGCCGTTACAAAGACACCTGCCAGTAAAGAGACACCAACAATATTAATGACACAGTAATAGCCCCCTCTGTCATTTAAATGTAGCCAGCCTCTTGATTCTGCAAGAGGCTGGCCTATGGGCCTTATTCACGAGTCGGCCATATTGAATTACAAGTTGGGTAAAATCTTAATTTTTGGAACTTGCGAAGAGAACTGAAAGCAAGTTAATGTTTAATAAATTCCAGTCTGCTTCAATGAATAATTGAACATTTGTTATAAACATTCCCTAATATTTAAAGCCATATTTAAAAAAAAATGACAGTAAAATAAGGCTGCATTGTGCCTGCATAAAAAGTCTGGCGCCATCCCATCCAACAGTTAACAGTTAATGAAATGCATTCAGGGAACTCAACAAAAATGGCCAACTCGTGAATAAGGCCCATAGTGGTTAGGGTTTCATGATCAAAGGGTCAGGGATTCGAATCCAGCTGCTGGCCATATGTTGTGTCCTTGGGCAAGCCACTTCAAACCCCCCCCCCCTTGCCTCTCTCCACCCAGGAGTATGAATGGTTACCGGCATTAACTGGGGACTAACTTGCGATGATGGACTAGCATCATCCAATACAGGGGGAATAGAAATATTCTCAGTCGTTTCATGCCACTGAAACCTGATGGGCCACATTGGCTTGTAAAAGACTTTACTTGTGTATTACACGAGTCTATAAGAAAGTGAGTTTTAAATTGCACCATATTGAGTTCCACTTGTTTGAGTTTGTGTTGTTCTGAAAAGAACATTCCAGACAAAATGCACTGCCGGTCGTCAGGAAACTGTCTCCCGACAATGGGCAAAGCAAACTACTATGCTTTTTAACTTTGTAACGCCAAAAACACATTTAAAGGGACACTGGGTCCTGGAACAGCCCAATTGGGCTACAAAACACACTTTGAACAAGATGATGTTAATCGGAAAGAACATTTAAAAGTAGGATATAAACATCCACACAACTATCCTTTAAAAACTGGGTGTTTTTGTGTTATTCCTGTATTATGCGTGCAAAAACGAATTTCGGGGTCCACTTTTGTGACCCCATAAATTCGAGCTGTTTTGATGCTAGTTGTGATTTCATTCGTTAAGTGTTCCCCCAAAATTTTTACATTGGTGATTGGTCACCGCTGTTCCCGAGACACACAACATGTATATTCTACACTGAGAACGACACAAAAAACGTATTCGTACTCTGTCCTGTCCAATGTTAACAACCGGGGTTTTCCGTCTTTTCTCAGGAACGGTAAGACATTAATTAGGTTGGTTTCCTTTCAACCAGATGTTTGAAATAGGCTCAGTAAACAATCCAAAACATGAGATTTTCGGGGATTTCAGGACCCAGTGCCCGTTTAAGTGAATCAAGCCAGATCGCACACTGGATGAGTAGCCTACTACTGACGAGAAAGTCCGATGCTGCGACAAGACAACACTGGGTTTACGCACCAATCAGGCAAGCAACTGGGAATGTAGAAAAAACAAGGAAACTCCAAACCACACAAGGCTTTGTACAGTATTTCTTTCAATTTGTAATGGCATTCCTGAGAAGTAAAAAATTAGGAAATTAGCGGATCCGAGGACAAGTTGCTTGCTTGACCAATAAATTGAATAAGGCAGACCCCATGATCCATAGAAGGTGCGTCATTGTCCAATAGCGAGTCAAGGAATCTAAACATTCAGAAACTTTCCCGACAAACCTTTCACAGATTGTACTGCATCTACCGAAGAAGAGTAAGGCACCTTTACCCTGTAAACTGTTGAACACCAATTGTGACTAGATTTTGCCCCCCCCCCCCCCTCCCCCAACCCAGCATCACTACCATTTCTTGGGTCTGTCTTAGCCTAACGTCCTAGCCATTACTTTGGGATCAATAACTGAGTACAATGTAATACAGAATACTATGAGTGTTGTGCACAATAATGTAAGCTGAAGTATTTCATACTACAGTTTACTACTAGAGTTTACAGTACAACCTACCACAATATATAATCTAACCGACAAGCTTCAACGCCTTCAAAATGCCTCTGCCCGTCTTGTCACACTGTCCAAACAATCAACCCACATAACCCCCATACTCAAGTCTCTTCACTGGCTCCCCGTCACCCATCGCATTGCATTCAAAGTTCTCCTTCATGTTTTCCATTCACTTCAAGGCACTTCACCCGGTTACATCAATGACTTAATCACATTGTACCAGTCAGTCAGAAATCTTCGTTCACGAGAACTACATCAATTGCCTGTCCCTTGTACCAATCACTCGTGGGGTCAACGGTCTTTAGCTCATGCTGCCCTGGAACTTTGGAACAATCTCCCACGCCAAATGAAAATCCCTGTCTACATTCAAATCTACCCTCAAAACCCATCTGTTTCTACGTCGTTTTTGTAATTAATGTTTTTCTTTGTATGTATGCGCCATGAGCGTCATGCCTGGCGGATACTGGCGCTTGTTCATTATTATTATTATTATTATTACTACTAGTATTTTGTAGCTTTAGGTGAGGTTAGGGTTAAAATAGACATATGCAACACTCACCAATAAATGTAAGGAAGATCAAGCCAGCCACGACGGGCAGTGCGATTGCGTAGAATCGGGGTAGAAAGAACTGCTGTAGGAAGTGGTCGTCATCAACAAATGGCTGCTCCAAACGAAAACACAAACATGGAATCAAAAGAATAGCAAGAGTCAAGAGTCCAGCCTTTCAGGTAGACTATCTATAATTTTTGAACAGATTCACTAATTAATTACGCAAGACAAACACATCTTGACCTCTAGATTTTGACCAATCAGTGGGGGCTTTCTATGTCGGGTCTTCGGTCATTTATCCCTTGTCGCATCCAGACATGGATAATAAAAAACCACTAGACACAGCAACAAAGGCTGTGGTCACGTGCTCTGTATTATGTTACGCGACACGCACGCGGCTGTTGTTGTATTCAAAACACTGCATTCGAATTGACCAATCACAGTTTCAGTCCTGATTTGGGAATGAAATGACATCACGATTTAGTAAAGTCGACTCCGATTGGCTGAGGCGTGAGATCGTATAAATCTGCATGCTTTGATAAATCAGACGTTAGACAGGAGATTGGCTCTGTGGGTAACGGGTGATGCTCAGACTACTTTCAGGTGGAAAATAAAAATGAGCCATTTCGGAACCAAGATCTGAAGTATTCAAAGGGAAAATACAACATTTGCAAACATAAAAAATAAAACTACCAAATCATTTTGAAATACCTTGCTGGACTGTTAGTGAATGACAGTGTAAAGCATCCTGTAAAATCATGGCACCTGGTATACTGTCATTTTCAAGAAAAGTGGTATTTTTGTATCAATTTCCAACGCTGGTTTTCAAAATACTGGCCCCAATTGACCATCGCACTTGTTTGCAATCGATTACAAACCTATGAACGGGTACAAGCCAGCTAGACTGGTTCCCTGACCTTACAATTCCCCAATGTATGTAAACTGCTCTGTTTCTTCTTATATGGAGTCGGGGAACCAGACTACAGGAAAATGATTGTTTTTCTTAGTTTTTATAGCATTTTCGAACCCAAAACCTCAAAAAGTCAGTGTAACTATATTTGCTATATATTTCCAACCCCCAATTCCATCCATTTCTGAAAATTACAGCAAAAGCAAATGATGTATATTCCCTTTAACTTGGGGACAAACACAGCAGATACTTGCACACAAGTCTATGGTGACAATGGTAATGGATTCCACATCGCTGCCATATCACTTACACTACCAAAACAAAAAAAGATTTAAAACTTTTGTTGACACAAATGTTGTAGCATGTTGAAACCTCAGAACAACAAGGTTGTATTTGTGTACATTATGAAAAAGCCTCTGTACTGATGACATCACACTTTGTTTACACCTGTGCTTTAATTCTCATGGGAGCCCAGTGGGACAAATGGTTTCGTAGCCCCACAGATAAGTGCACATGTAAACAAAGTGTGACATCATCAGTACAGCTGCATATTAAAAATCTCACCATGAATATGACCCAAATTGTGTAGTATGAGAATATTGCCCCAGCAAATGCCACAAGGCCCATGCCCAAAGCTTGGTCCATACTGGTCGCCTGCGAAAAATAATAAAGAAACAAGTTTTAAGTAACACTCAGGAGTTTGTCATAATTAATAGTGCATTTGGGGTAGCCTCAATTCAGCGAGTGCAAATCCTCCCCCAAGCTAATGTTTAAATGGAGGTAGACTTGTGGCCTAGCCTTACAATGGGACTACAGTCATGACGGATGCTATATTACAATTACGGACCCCTCTATGGTGCCGTATCATAAGTCCGACGCCTCATAGGTCTGACGCCTCATAAGTCCGAAATTTCGGACTTATGTGGCGTCGAACTTGTGAGGCATAAGTCCCGCCTAGGTCCGACCCCTCATAAGTCCGATTTCATAAATTTCGGACTTACATGTATGAGGTGTCGGAGCTATGAGGCATCGGACTTACGCGGTGTTGGACCTATGAGGCGGAATAAATACATTATATGCCTCATAAATCCAACGCCTCGTAAGTCCGACGCCTCATATGAGGCATCGGACCTATGAGGCGTCGGACTTATAAGCGGATCCCCCCTCTACCTTTTAAGTTTTATCGTTCCAAAATGACGTTTGCAACCTCATGACTTTTTTCCTAGATTCAAACAACTATTTAATACTTCAGCAGTATTAATAACGTTCCAAAATGAGGTCTGCAGCCTCATGATTTTTTTTCTTCGGTTCAAATGACTATTTTTAAGATTTCAGCAGTATTATGAATATGATGTTTTGTTCCACTATTCAGGTTGAGGCTCCACTATTCAACCCGGTTTTAAGTAAGGCTGTTCATTTCCAAAAAAATTAGTTTAAAACGGACACGAAAAAAGACCATGTGAGTGAAGTGGCGGCACATGTAGCCAACCAGCTCCGCCACTCAACTCGCGCAGGCTGTTTTCGTGTCCGGGTTGCCACATGTGCCTTGACTCAAGTCTACTTGACTGATACTGCAGAAAACGATCCATCAGCACGTGCGTGATCTTTTTGATATCAGAATTTAGATAATCGACCGTGTGCAAACGAACCTGGAAATTACAAGAAAAATAGATGTTTAAGAATTTAAAGGCGGGACTTCTTTTCTATTGTGTGGTGCGATGTCGTGGAAAGCATGAAATCAGTCTGTTTTGCTTTCCACAACATCGCACCAGACGAAAATTGAAAGGCACTAGCGCGCCTGAAAGAGGTATGGTACCCACAAACGTGTGAAGGTACTTGTGAAGCGATTTCGAAAATCTGTAGTGATCACGTGACGCGCTCATGGGTATTCATGATACGCACAGAAGACGTAAACAACAGCCGTGGCAATGGATTTTCCGGAGAATCACCACCAAAATCATCCACAAAATTAATATTTGTAGTCGTTCCTGTTCTGTTTGAAGTTGATTATAAGCTTCATGAATGACTGCTGCATGGTATGAATGAGGTATGGATTATGGAATCTGTGTTGGGACAAAAGCGGGAAAATGGACCATTTTGTACCACACTGGGGGTATACAGTCCCAGATTTCGGGCCTCAAGTCTTAGTCTTACAATCCACTTTTTTTTAACGTTACAAGTTAATTGTGCCTCCAGCTTTAAATACAATAAGCACTGTTGTGGCTGGAGTTACTCAGGAAAGAATGTTGCAACCTGATGCTACTTCAGCAGTTGTGTACAAAGTCTATGGAGGCTTGGAGAGTCAAGGGATTTTTTAAAAGTATTTCCTAACAAATTGGAAATGTTTCTCTGTCACAGATTCATGGCTTATCATCATTACTGCAGCCACTGACCTTCATTATGATGATTATTGTAATATGAAGAAAAAAGCAGCGTCAGGTCTAGTCTCACTCACTGGGTCGCTAGAACTCCTTTTTTGACATTTGGGATGTTACTGTCGTACTAGCGACCCACTTACATTGACTTAGGAACTATTGTCAATGTAACAATTTCTAAAAATCACGCAAAATACTTAACAAAACTACGAAATTTGCACCTACTGGCTTCTCCACATGTCAAAGACAAAGTAATCGGGCTTCAATGATACTCACGATTATTTTTTGGGCTGCAAATCCGTGAATTTCAACCACTATAGCACAGACATCATACAGCGATCATTGATGGCTGTGATCTATCAACGCATTTCTATATGCACGGCACCATGGACATTTTTTTACATGCAAACACGTACGTGAAGCATGGGGACACGACCATGACCTGCGTCGGTAAACAAACTCCGCATGCAATCTTAAACAACACAAAACTCAAAACATTCCGCGCCTTCATAGCATATGTATAATTATATACAACAGCGAACTATGGGGAAAGATTTCCATATAAGAAGTTCATTAATTTTCCTCTGTATTGACTAACAAGCCCCCAGATAGACCCGTGAACGTGGCGTTGTATTCAAGCCACGTTCACGCCCCCAGATAGCAATTTCATGTCATCAAAGTCAATTTGAGCAGTGAGAAAATACAAGCAAATTCTTAGAAAACACTTAGAATTTTTCAGTCCACTCTCATAGGGTTTGTACACAGGGTGTTGAGTGAACTTCTTATATGGAAATCTTTCCCAACATTCTTTCCGAATGTTCTATTCACAAGGGAAAAAATGTTGCAACCTGACCAACTGACGCCACTTTTTTTCATCATCTCAATGAAAAATTGAAGGTCATTCATTGCAAAAATGATGATAAGACATGAATCTGGGACTGAGGAATATTTCTAATTTTGTTTGGAAATACTTGGAAAATTGCTTTGACTCTCACTCAGCAGTAGACTTGGTAATCCTTACTTTTAGGACACCTCTATTTTTTACAAGCTCTGTTCAAAACTGACTTTTGCAGATGACTGTCCAGTACCAAAGTGACTTTTGCAGGCTAAAGCAGTCTTTTTTCTTCATATAAACTCATGTTAGTTGTAGTTTTGAAAGCACTTTCGAAGAAAATGTGACTTTCCTACCTTTTTTCGCAGTCAGACGTGCATGTTGTAGTTCTCACACGCGTGAAAGCCCTACATAATGAAAGCCCTACATAATGAAAGCCCGATGCTGATTGGCTGCTAAAAAATTAATTAGTCTGGTTCCCAGACCAAAAGATTCTGACTACTCCTGAATCTTTTGGTCTGGGAACCAGACTAAAAATAAATAAGTTAGTCTGGTTCTCAGACCAAAAGATTCTGACTATTCCTGAATCTTTTGGTCTGGGAACCAGACTAAAAGTAAAAATAAATAAGATGTTTATTTTTTATCAGCCAATCAGCATTGAGCTTTCATCGCATCAAGCTTTCACGTTTGCCATCTTGGTTTTTTAGTCTGTTTTCTGGTTGTTATCGTCGTCTTTTACCCCTGGATTTCCCTCATAAATCAAAGCCCTGCCCTCTTTCCACAAAATTAAACCTGCTGATATTCAAGAAGGTGTCATTGCCATTCAACTTTAGTCATTTAGTCATTTTAGTCAACTGTTTTGGTGAGTCTTTCCCTTCCTATATAGGAACGGGGTCCTAAAAGTAAGGATTACCGTACGCGTAGACTTTGTACACATGTCCCGGAAGTGGCGTCAGGTTGCAACATTTTTTCCGAACAATCTTCTATTTGACTTGAGATTCCAGGTAAACCGGTATATCTACCAAGTACCATGGAGAAAATTTCTCCATGATCCTACAATAATTGAAATTAATTTCAATGAGGCTCACCATTCAAAGAGGAGCGCAGCTTTGCTGGTTTTCTTGCCCAATATGATGTAGTGATGTATCAATCATGTACGTACATGTACATGTACATACATTGTACACGTACACCGACTCCCACTGCAGGGCACATGTGTATTTACTGCATGCATGTCCTTACATCGACAATAGAGGGCGCGTTATTGCCAAACAAAAAACCATTCGCGTTGTCACTCAACCTCGTCCCCAGGGTGTCGAGAAGTACGCGCCCACCCTGGTATTGGATCATTTGCATGTGCAAGATTTTTGAACACGTATGCACATGAGGAACAGTCTGGTGCCTGGATATGCGTTACACATTCGAGACAACATGCAGCAAGGGCGGATCCAGGGGGGGGGGGGGGGGGGGGGGGGGGGGGGCAAAGGGGGCAATGGCCCCCCCCCAAAACGAAACCAATTTTTTTTTTTTTAAGTGACATCGCAATAAAGGCAGGCAATGAGTACACCACCATCTTTTCCTCAAAAAAACATTGGTTAAAGTGGTCAGAAATTGCCTCAGATCGCACCACAGAGCATCTAGAATCCAAAAAAATTTCGGGGCCCTTAAGCGGCCCCGAACCCCACGCCGTAATTTTTTTGACCCACTTTTTTGGGGGACCAAAACATTTTTTGCCCCCCCCCAAAAAAGAAATTGCGTTCTGGATCCGCCCTTGACATGCAGTATCATATTTCATATTAATATGAGCAAATTGGAAAGGAAATTAGTATTTTCGAGAAGGCGTGGACGAATGATCGCGAAAACACGTACTGCAGGTTGTGAATAATAGCACCAAGTACACGATAAAAATCCATTACTAGCCAATTGCGGTATCCAATCAGGATACAGGAAGAAAGTTTCCTATCCAGGGTTACTATTGGAAACCGTGTTGGAAATAAAGTAAGCACTGGGGACGAGGTTGGTTGTCACTCGGTGTGACATGGCGTGGGTCTCGGTATCGACCAATGGAAGCCGGTGTCATATGAAAATCCGACACCTATGAAAATCGGACCCCTTTTTTCCCTATTATTGGTTAATACCTCGCACGTGACAGGTCACTCTCCCGTATGTGATCCTAAAAATAGCATATTCTCGTACTTACGCATGCGCAATACTGAGTCCACATTTCATGGAGCTCGGAGTCGGATACTCACGCTACACCGGCAAAAAGGGTGATATTTGTAAATGAACAACTCATGCAATTGTTTACTGCACACCGTAATGGATAGGAACCTCAGTTATATTCCTGAGGCTTGAAAAGACCCTGCGCAAAGTGACCTGCTGCCCTTTACAAACACTGTAACTTGACACAACCATCTCCCTTCATAGCCGCAACCCCCCCCCCCCCCCCCTCGAGTATTTTGAACTCATGTATGCGGTGTTTTAGTATGTACAATGTGCAAGGGACTCCTACTCAATTGTATAAACCCTCCTAGAACTGGTATAAAACCAAAACAATAGGTACATACGCGTAAAAGTACGTGCTGCCCAAAAGGCAGCAGGTGACGACTCCAAGTATACTCTTTGTGTAAACGCTGCGCAGGGTATTTAGATATTGCGCACGCCAGTGTAAGTTGCACGTAGCCAGGCCTATTTTTCCAATTTCAACGAAAAGTAATAAACATATCACAACGACTTTTAGCACATACTTGGATCATTATAGGGGAAATAAATCCTGAAAGTTGCATGAAGATACGGTCTTCCAAACGTGAGAAATTAATTTTCAAAGATTTCACCCGCCAATGTGAACATGTCTGTGTAGGCCTACATGTAGTTTCATTCAAAATAAAGTGTTGCGTTGCGACACGCGCCCAGCTGTTGTTGTACAAATGTATTACAAAACACTGCATTCGAATTGACCTATCACACTTTTAGTCCTGATCATAGTTGGGAATGAAATGACGTCACAAGTCAAGCACGATTGGACATATCAGACGTTACTATACAGCAGACTTGGCTCCTTGGATAATGGGTGATACTCAGGCTACCCACTTTAGTGAAAAACGTCAAGAACGAAATGGTGCGGGATCGGACTTACGCTCCTTCATCAGCGACTTGCGTTAATTTTTGTGCATAAAATTGAAAGCGCTCATTCAATATACAGGATAATTTTTACTAGGCCTATTAAATGATAAAAAATACAAATTGTTCATTATAATGGAGTAGGATTTTCTTTGCCAATTGTTTTAAAGCTGTTCCGGGATTTCAAATATTTTTGCAGATCACTAGTTCTGTTTTCATTCAGTGTTTTAAAATGGCGGCTGCCACCTTGAATTATTCGCCCAGCTGCTCTCCGTACCTTATGCACTTGGGCGCACGTAATCGGTAATGAGAATACTATACTCCCGGGTCACACGAGAACGGGGTTTCGAATACGCCCTCTACTGTGTCTCTCGCCTTTAAAGCAAACAAAGAAAAAGGTTTTGAGTACCATAAATTTCAAAACATTTTGTTTTTCTGTTTTTGTTTAAATATCTTCGCTCGCGCGTGTCGCTCTTTCGGAAAATTGTTTTGAATTTTTACGGAAATGCAACAGCCTCTGTGGGCGGAAACGAAATTATAAGGGACAATTGCTGCATCGCGTCGTCCTACTCCGTAATTCCTATCTATTGGTATTCATTTGAGCATTTCATGGGCTTGGCGCCACACTCACTGAGTTGCGGTAGTTGCCATTATCTCGGATGAAAAACTGGCATGAAAGGGCCGCTGAAATGCTGGGGGCTGTACACAGCTATTGAAATTTCTTGGGCGTTTCTCAGTTAAACTTTGAACTCGGACATTGTGTGAAAATGGAATGGGTGGAATTGTTTTCCCAAACAGTTTATGCATGACAGTCATCGTTGAGTCTATTGAGGAATTGCACGCGACGTCGCAGGTCAGTGCACACCCGGCAAATTGTGGACGGACGGTTGCAGACTAGTAAATCAACTGATAGACACCTGTGTTAAAAACATCCACTTCCTAAAAAATAAACTAGGAAAAATATTTGCAACTATTGTGTTTGAGCCACACATCAAATTAAACCTTCTTTCGTCATCTTTCATTTTCATGGTTTTTTGGGGTTGAACAATGACTTTTTGGGACAAAATTTCTCCCAAAGATGATCAATATTGCAATTAATCTTAATGCAATGTTCATTCGTCCCTACAGTGGCGCATTCCGGACCCCTTTGACGGTAAAACGGTAACATGCAAAATTCTAAAGGTCTGCAGTTGGTACATTGATTTCTTACAGGAGGATCACCCTCGAAATAGGCCTTTGTAAAACTGTTTCTATACCATCTCAAATTATGGAAACTGAAAAATCGCATGACGTGTATAAGAGAAATATCATGCCATAGCTAACTGTTACTTCCGAAAATCCAAGATACATATGGACTGGTGGAACTCGGTGTACTATTACAAAGTTTAAAATAAAATAGTAATTGCAGTGATTGGGTAAACTAACGTGTGATTGGTCAATTAAACGTGTGAGTTGGTCAACTGGAATGCAGTGTTTTGTAATACAACAGCCGGGCGCCTATCGCGTAAGATGATACAGAACGCGTGATCACAGCCTTTGTTGCTGTGTCCAGGGTATTTTTCGATCCATGTCTATGACGCGACAACGGTTGACTGACCGAAAACTCACTGAACAAGTGCCCTTTTTAAAAAAAATTGTGCCCTTTTGTGTGGCACCTGCCGTTTTGGGTGCCTTTTTCTGAATTTCGCACATGTAATGCCCAGTGAAAAGCACCATATATTGACACCCCCCGCTTTTTGATTTTACGGATGCCAAGTGTCCGGAGAGAAAAAAAACCCTGTCTACACTTTACCACGGATGTGCAAGTGTCCTTTTCAAATTTTTTACCCCCCCCCCCCCAATAAAAATGACCGTGCCACGCCACTGACGTGGCGAAAGCCATGGTCTATTACATAGACTACACTTATGGCGGATGTTTAACTTGCAAGGATCTCCCACGAACGATCAACTCTGAGAATAATTTATATCCTCTCCACCATTGAATTTTCGCCCATGCTTGCATGCAGCTTCCACTGATATATTGATGTGTGATGAGATTTGCAGGTTTGCATTGGTGAAGGGTAACAATAAGGTAAGTTGTTGCGGTAGCCTGAGCACCATACGGCAAAGCCTCTTTTGTCAGTATGTGTGGTACTCAACGTTTCGGACAGTATACTCTGCCCGTCGTCAGGAGCATGGTGACCGTTTTAGCCGATTTTCGGCTAACTTTGACATTTTTTGGTTAAAAAACGAGTTTGACAGAAAATTTGACAGAATGGATTTTTTGGGCAGATTTCTGGCAGAATTCTGTAAAAATGGTTCTTTGACAGAAAAACATAGCAAATTTAAAAAAAAATGGTACATCTGTTTAAAAAAGCTTCAATCTTTTCAAACAAACCCTTGCATAATGGGACAGTTTGGCTAGTCTAGGTGCTGAGGTTCACTGGGAACCGGACTTTGTCGTGGCGCAACCTTGTTTTGTCTGAAATTTACGCAATTTCATAACATCTTTATGTGACTATAGATTGTTTGTAATCTAATTTGAACCTTAATTAAGGCAATACTACAACATCTGCATGTAATTTTAAGTGTTTATAGTGCATTTTGGGTAATTCTTTGGAATTTGGCAGATTTCTGATCAATCTGACAGATTTTTGCAGTCCATTTTGCAGAATTTTGCCATGACCTTACGGTCACCCTGGTCAGGAGACCTTTTCGAACCACACATACCAGCACTCATAAACGAGATTTTGCCGCCCATGGCGCTATCGCAACAATTACTTACCTTATATTGATACGACGTGTTCCATACTGTGATTCAGCGTATTTTTTGGTACTCTCTGAATTGGCCTCGGAATTGATGTTTATTTTTGTATGGCTGCCGATGCATGGCATCTCTTGTTCCCGTGAACTTTTCATAGTGTGTTTCTCACAATCTGCACGTGGCAAAACATCGCCTGTTAGTAGTACATGTATTATTCTGTCGTATTTTTGACCATTGCATTTTTGTTTGCTAAAGAAGGAATTTTTGTCACATTTGGATAGAGTTTACCTTCCTGAGCCAGAAATCCATTAGTAACAAAATAACTAACATTTTGTTTCCGTCTATCGTGTGGCGGCCATCTTGATTTTAAAATGGCCACCATTTTGTATAATAACTTTGGACCTGATTGTCATATCAAGTCCATTTTGGTGGCAAACCCCATGTTTTTGAAACCAAGAAACCACAGTAAATCATTGTTTATGGTGTATTCCAAAAGGATGGCAGCCATCTTGGATATTTGAAAATGGCCGCCGTTCTCGGCGCGCAAAATGACATGACATCCAGGTGCAATGGTATTATTTAAATGAAATCCAAGATGGCGGCAATTTTGAAATATCCAAGATGGCTGCCATGCATCGGGACACCTCATCAACAATGTATTATTTAGATAACTTATTAGCCTCAAATTTATGGGGTTTGCCACCAAAATCGACTTCGTACGACATTCGAGTCCAAATTAATTATGCAAATAAGTCGAAAGGGGCGGCCATTTTGAAATATCCAAGATGGCTGCCATCCAAAATGTTACCAATGGATCTCTGGCTCAAGAAGGTAAAATCTACCCAAATATGTCAAAAATATCCTTCTGTCGCAAAACAACAACAACAACAACAACATAAGTACATAACAGCCAATACCATGTCAAGTAATGCTGTTAATCTCGCATGTCCGCAGAATGTGATGCGCAGCTGTGCGGTAGGATTCACAACAGCCCCCAACTGCTTGATTTTTAAGAGATCTTCCAAGACTAACACAAAACCGAAAAAATGTTAAGCATGGTTGTGTGGACGTATAATCCTACTTTTAAATGCTCTTCCAATTAACATCATTGCGTTTAAAACGCGTTTTAAACGAAAGATCCCTTCAATACAAAACCTAATGTAAAATGTGCAGTAAAAAGCAAGAAGAAACTCTATCACACACACCAAAAACCCTTTATACGTTTCCGACGCACTGTCGTCTGCTGCACCCGGATGTGGTCATGGATCCTTAACATTAGCTTATAATAATAAGCATAGCAAGTCACAAGACCAAAAATTTTTGTTCTCGAACAAAAATCTCAAATTTTAATATCCAAAAAGTGCTTTCCATGCCATTTCAAAAAAGAACCTTTTTCTCTTTGTTAATTTGTGTATGCATTTGAAGTTGTTTGGCGCTTGAACGACGAAAGGCTATTGTCAAGTCGCAAACTATATTACCCGGACTGAGAGGTCCAGTGCGGCTAATGAATACCCGAGCCTCATGCTATTCAAATTGCATGGGCGTTGCTTGGTTAAACTTTGAACTCGAACCTAGCGTTTTTGTTAGAGTAAAAAAAGGGGGAATCCAACAATACAGCGGCCTTGAATTTATCTGAACTTTAGGATTGGAAGTACAAACAAGATGGCTGAATTAGACCGTACGTGCATCTAAAGATATACTGTTGGCAAGTTGTTATCATTATTATAAAGTTTCTGACAATTTCAGGGGTTGTGGAAGAGAGTCCATCTTGTAGAGTCCATCTTGAACCACTTCGTGGATAAAAGAAATATAAGCTTTTAACTAAACTATAAACTGTTAATAAGAAAGAACAATATTTGAAATTAAACAAATTCCCAAGAACTTGATATTCAATTTTCATGTCACAATTTGGGAGAGAAGTTCGCAATAACTGTGAAGCCAGTAGGCTACATGACGTCTTCATTCACACTGAAGTATAACTTTGTGGCCAATTATCAGCTTTTACGAGAGGATTTTAACATTCTGTTTTTTTGTTTTTTTAAAGAAAATCAGAGCATGAACCTGATTCGAAAGAAGATCGAAAGATTCACACAACAGTTTTACACGTGAAACGGGCGACAACACGGACGTCAGTACATTTCGCGCACTTTTGGCTCCGTCTCCCGTAGCCGTCTAGTGTGTTAAAGTCCTATTATATTCAACGCGGAAATTTGAAAAGCTTGGGGACGAGCCAATCAACTTTCATGGGCGTTTACGCTGAACTTTTGAACCTGAGCAGGTTTGCGTTGAGAAAACCAACCAAACTACACACCGTCTGGATGCCATCCTTTGGAGCGCAATCATCTGTGAATTATGATGGAGCTTTAATGACAAATACCTGTACTTTAATAGTATAGTCCATTGATCATATATCAAGCCAATTTTCTAAAGAAATTTCCTGAAACGTACCTCTTTCTATAGTGACAGAATATAAACCTACTGATTAACAGAAACAGGGAGAGTAAATTCAGGATGCCTGCGATAACCATAGCAAGCGATTTAAAAGACCCCAATTGGCCCTAATACGGTAAAAAAAAACCTTATCATTTTGTTTAAAAAAATGGAATGTTGCAGTTTCGTAGGTCGGAAGCATTTTTTTGGCCCAAACCTACCAAGAATCGATTTTAGACGATCGTTCATGGCCAACTGTAGTGCATGCTTAGAATTCAATATGGCCGCCATAAGTACAAAAATACCTCTTTAAATGATCAACATTAATAAACACAAATTTGATAGGAGTCCATAACTGGATGGCTTGATCAACTCGCCCACAACTTTTCACTGGAAACTCGTGCAGCCAATGAGGTTCAGTATCGGCCATTTTTGAATCGAAGGTACTTCTAACCTTAAAAGAAGCAGGATTTTGGATAATTTTATAGCCAAAGGGAGAGGGTATACCTTGTTCCATCTAAACTTAGAAATACTTCAATTCTTTTTTTTAACGGGAATGCATAGAACTTGATGACATATCTATTTGAGGGTAAACCTTTTGCTCTAGCAAGGCACTATCCACTCCGTTTACAAGTACCCCCTCACCGGCAAAGCAAGTACAGTTGGGGGTGACCGACCGACGCCATCTTGTCTGACTTCAATTCATTGCCGCGCAGCGCGGCCACTGCGCGCGTGTGCATAGTACAAATCCCCTGGTGTACGTGCGTCACACACAAGGAACGGTGCGCGTCAACCAGCGAGATGTCCCGCCCATGGGACGTCGTTGCCCATAGAGGCTAAACATTTAAGTGCGCCACGTTATAGGGGCTGCGCCACGCACTTAGGGGACATCAAGAAAACTATTTATCGAGATTGACATGAGACCATGCGAACGAGGTTAAATCATAATGCTCCATAGAGGAACAAAGACCTGCATATCTGTTTATGTGTTTTTTTTACTCGAAACAATCTGAGGGATGATCCTATGGTTCATCCTGGAAAAAAAGTGAGAGAAAATATTTCCCTTATTCTAGTAGAGGAAGACACTACAACAAGGTTTGCACACATTTTTACATCTGTTAAGAACATGAACAGTTGCCGAGAAAATAAGAATAAAAATGAGTGGCTCAAATGAGGGCCCGTATGACAATTTGTTTTTGAAATACGGGAGCTATAATATCAAACTTGGACATGGCCCCTGGGTTTCAAATATAGAGTGGAACACAATTCGTTTATTTTGTACGGTTTTTCACATTGGCTGAGTTTCAATTAGTATTTGCTTTGTAGAAAAAGAGAGTCAGCGCTCTTGTACGTTTATGTATTAAAACGAAATTGCGCACGGTCTGTGAATTTCTTTTTGTATGATGTGCGATCAAGTGGAAATGCGATATGGAAAACAAATGGTGATCTTCGTATATTTCGAGTTGGCACACACAATAACTTTTTATGACGTCGTGTTTTTTTGTGTAAGGGGAAAAAGGAAAACCGATTCGGGGTCACTTGTTGACAATCACATTCGGAGCTGTCTATCACAGATATAGGGGAGAGGTCTTTCGATAAAGCCCCAATACCTGCCGTGTCGCTTCGGTGTGACATTCACAGACCGCTCGTAGATTGAGCTCGGAGCAGCGTGCTGCCTGTACGTCGCCGGATCATATAATTGACAGGATTCAGAGGGATTTCTGGGCGAATTTGAAGGCAGAGCGATCGCCGTCAACCCAGGTGAGCAAGATGCGTCAACGGCGGAGTTCAGATGCGCTCTTTGTGGCCTTTTTGTTTCTTCTCGTAACAGTCCCAGTGCCAACAGTCTCAGTAGGAAATCAAACAACAGCAACAATGACTGGCGGTAAGTTCTGACTTTCCTTTCAATACCATTCGAATGTTGTTTTCTAGTTCGAACACACCAACAACCGTTTCCATTTCAGAGGGAAGGCGGGAATAAAAACCCCGTAAAATGAGAGCTGCGTGATCCCTAATTGACTAGGAAAGGAAGTCAACGTGCCTCCATTAAATGGTGCATGGGCAATTAAACTAACTCTTCAAGGCTGTTTGACTTGTTGAGATGAATTCGATTGAAATTTAAAAATTCAGTACATGACTTTAATCGTTTAACAAGTGCACTTAACTTTTTAACGAGAATGTGCTGAAATTGAATAAAAACTGAATTTATCAAAATTTAAAAAGTCAACAAGTTATACAAGCGGTCCAATTAAAGTGTTTTTTTTTTTAAATTCAAAGTGTAACACAGGTACTGTATATAAGATTCATTAATGTGTGTATTGTAACAAGACAGTAATCAAGCTAACCTCGCCAACACGTATACCACGGCACCCACCCGTGGCCCCGCGGGCCGCGTCACATTGCGCCATGACATGGTTATCGTCGCGATCCTCGACTCGCCGCTGCATGCCACTCGATTCCCCTGGTTTCTCCCAACAATGTGACTCCCTATTTTGTTGGTAATACTTTCCCAACTAACATGAGGCCCACTGTGACTTTTAACACAATGCTGGGTCAAATTTGACACCTTCACTCAAAGCCTACATGAACCTGGTTTCTCAAAGAAAAACCCTTTTGGGACATTGCCGAGGGCCTGTTTATCTTTCGCGCCTTTTCCAACTTTGGGAAAAACACACACACGAACGGCACACGCTTGAAAGAGTTGTGGGTTTCGTGGTGTTATTTTTAGCGACCTCACGCGGCCACTATTTTTATGCAAATCAGTTGGAGACGATGTCGAGCCTTGGTTCAATCGTCCATGTGAGGTTTTGGGGGTGGTGCTCATTATGTTAATAGCCTTAGCTGACCTTAAATGTCGTTTCCTTATTGGTCGATCGTTGCGTGGAAACTTGCATAGTGAAACGTGGCACCGTACATAATCCATACACGTACACATTGTGTGTCTCTGCACACGGCACCAATGCACAAAAACTGTGGTTCCTGTCACAACCGCAAAAGGCGGAATAGCTGCAAATAATTTGATGACGTCCGGATTTACCAAGGTGTGATTGGACACTCCACATATTAGCCCCGCCTACATTTTCTGTATTCGCATACGAGGTCGTGCGCTGGAAATCTAGCGCAAAGTAAAGAAAAACATAAGCTTTGGCCGACGATTGAACCAAGGCTCGACATCATCTCCAACTGATTTACATAAAAATAGTGGCCGCATGAGGTCGCTGTTCGCGCTGTATTTCCACATGCATGTGCATAGCGCTAGCGCGTGAGGATATATGCCGATGATTGACCGCGTACGGGACGAATAACGACGAGAGCATTGACCAAGGCTACCTTGAACAAAGATATTGACACATTGGGAAAACAGGATAAGGCCGGGCTGGATAGCTCAGTTGAATAGAACACCGGTAGGGTTATCCAGATGAAGTCGTCATATCCCGCTCCAACCAATTTCTTTGTTTTGCTAGAAGAACTCTCCTTCGCATCGCATACACAGAAATTTCTATTTTGAACAACGTTTTACCCACATTTTGCTTATTAGTAGAATTCTGAAAGAGTACGTTCATTCGTTCGTATACGCCAAAATTATGTTCCTTACATTTAATACAGTTAATGCTTCTCTACAGTTACATTCATAGACATTCGTTCGTATAGGCCAAAATTATGTTCCTTACATTTAATACAGTTAATGCTTCTCTACAGTAACATTCATAGACTTGTATAAACACGAGTTGTGAATCAGAAAACCTAGCAATAGTCTATAAAACGACGTTGAAAAGCTGAAATAAAAAAACAAATAAGCATAACAAGCAACACGCCCTTATACACACAAATAAGGGGACTTAAAAAACAACTTTTCCTAAAGAAAAATCCATTTTGAAGGACTAATATCAGCCATTATGGCTGTGACTTGGAAAATGTCTGTCGTTGGTAAGCAAAGCTAATCCGCTTACGCGTACCTTCTCAGACGTTATGACAGAGCAGTGAAATTCTTGCACCAAAAAAAAAGGCCTTTTGGACGTTGTGTTTTTCAAAAATATGCTCAGTATGCTTGAAACGTTATATTATAACGGGAAAAGAAATTCTAAACTTCATGTCAGTGAAAAAAAAATTGCCGTCATCTATGCAGAAGCGTCAATCCTGGATACTGGTTTAGCTGACCTTCAAGTCTGGACGGTCGAAAACTTCCCCAAATCTATTTATATCGATTTCTTGGAACTTCTTCAAGTTGTTCTTCACTTCTTCACGAGTAGTTGAACACTTCAATCACTCTATTAGTACATTCCGAATTTCATTCAGCTTAATCTATCGTTGCAAACACACAGTGTTACACCTTATGAACTCCAAGCAATATTTCGACGTAGATTTGTAGTCCCACCCACGATTTGACCTTGGTGATATGTGACCTATTTTTGAGTAGTAAAATAGGGGTGTATTTTGCGCCACCAACGTCAAAATAGTTCACCCCCCGAAAAACCCTCACTTTTTTTCTGCTGCCAAAAATTTCGCTAACATAATTATTCCGATTTTTTTTTAGCCCCCTCCCAAGCCAAATACTGGGTGCGCCACTGCGTGATTTGGGGTGGCTCTTGGTATATTGACCAATGGAAGCCGGCAAAAAGGGTGATATTTATCAATTATAACTCGTGAAGGAGGCTTTTTTGCAAATTTTTACTGGACACCACAATGGATATATGAACCTTATTAATATTCGTGAGTCTTGAAAAGATTGACAGATATATTGCAAACGCCAGTATTACAGCTTTCAAAACTGCACCTACACAAACCTATTTTTCCAATTTCAACGAAAAGTAATGAACATATCACAATGATTTGTAGCACTTGGATCATTAGGGAACTAAACCCTGAAAGTTGCATGAAGATACCGTCTTCTAAACGGGAGAAATTCATGTTTAAATATTGCGCCCGCCAACGTGAATGGGAGTCAATGCGAACATCGCAAACTATACGTGAATCGAGTGGTAGCGGCGAGTTGAGGCACGCCCAACAGTTGTAAACATTATGCCCTGGCCTAGCCCGCCTGCGTGCGGTGATCAAGCATCATCGCTTTCCTATAGGGACCCGATCAGCGATCGAAAAAATTAGGTTCAATTGACTTGGCTTTAAGACATTATTTATTCCCATTCATAAATAAGTCTTGTTCTTTAAAAAAATCAAAACTTTTCGGTCCAACAGTCAAAACAAGTCGAACATTATAAATTTCCAACTATTGTTCAACAATTTTATGTCATGATTTTCGAAATACCCTTTATTATAGAATGTTCATCTCGGAGATTGGCACGCGGCGCGTACAGTGCACGAGTGGCGCAGAACGCAGCTGTGACGTATTGTGAATTTAGGATTATGAAATAGTGTACTGACTCACTAGTTGCGCATGTCTACACTGCGCGCGTTCGCCATCCAGAGGATAGCGGCAACCGTCGGCAAACCAACTCATCTAATTATGGGAATTAACCCACTCATGGAGTCATGGAGTAGCCTCTCGAGTACTAGGACGTGGGCATACAAAAGTACAGACGGACCAGCTGCGTCGTGACCGGGCTAGCCTCCGCAGCCGAGATCAGGTCGGCCATGGGAAACCGTGATGTATGGCGTTCCTTTGTTGCAGTCGGACGAGGGTCGACATGATGATGATGATGATGTACGTGAATAGCACTAGCCATGCAGCCATCATACCTGTGTTTGCTTTCTTGTTCATCGGTTGGCACTCTGGATGGTGATGCCTAGCGACCAGTCAACTTTCTGAGATTCTGAGATTCTGAAAGTATGATCTTATCTTGGGCGTGCTTATAGCTATAGCTCCGTGAACCACTAGCCAAGGTTGGACGGTTGTCTTCATGCATTGCGACTGCGATGTTCACTCATGATCAAAGATCCTATAACGGCGCTATAGGATCTTTGCTCATGATCTTAGAAACAGAGTGACTAGTGTGTCAAGTTGGACGCAGCCAATTCAAAAGCTTCACATCATCATAACTTTAACTAATTGGGAGACAACAATAAACACTATGTTTTCAAAGAAGGACCGTACCAAGGTGACTCCTATTCAGGCTGGTGATACTCCAAAAAATGTCCTCCCCTCAAAAATATATATTATTTTTTTGAATATCGCTCCATACATGGGCAGATAAACCTGTCAGGCTTTCAATGACACCATGATCATTGTGGCACTTTCATGCATGACTTATCAGGGGCTACATTTGCAAACTTTATGAGAAACGGCTTGCGCACACAAATGCGGTGTTTTTAACTGAATCAATGGCAATAAGAGACAAATCCGACTTGTTCCTTTTTTATCACCATTTAATGTGGAAATTTAATTACAGGTATCTTGAACTTCCTTTGGAATCAGACTTCCGCCCTCCACATTAACATGTCATTTACGACACGCCTGACCATTCCTGATCCTCTGTCCGGTGATATGGCAGTTACAAAGAGACCTTTGCTGCAGTGTGCTGTAATCTTGTTCGATACAGATCAGCCCAATGGCAAGAATGAGGGAAGTGCACAGAAAGCCCACATATATTTATCCAAATGTAGACAATGCGTAATGTAACAACATACAGTAAATTTTAGGCGGTTGAGAAGAAAGGAAAAGGAAAACAAAATGTTGAGGTTTAATATCCTCGATTTTTATTACAGGTCTTTGTGAATAAAAAAAAGGAACATGTTGGATTGTCGATCTAATTGCATTGATCCAGGTAAAAAGACTGCATTTATGTGTGCCAGCCGTTTCTCACAAAGTTTGCAAATGTAACTCCTGATCAGTCATGCATGAAAGTGCCTAAATGATCATAGTGTCATTTAAAGCCTGACAGGTTTATATGCCCACATGTACGGAGCGATATTCGAAAAAAATATTAACATTTTCACTTTAGGGACATTTTTCAGAGTGTGTATACTTCTGTTTGATTCACCCTGTAGATTGACCGGTCACACTCGACACTCTTTTTATTGTAAGGATTGTAAATATCAAATAAACTTGCTTGCTCCTTCTCGTGAGGAAAGAGCAACCATAGAGCAAGGAACAGGAGCACTTCATCAAAAAAGGTGTCCTCGCATGAGTAAAGAACCAGTAATCCTCCTGCTTCTTGGCTGTCCTTGCATGTTTAAAGAGCCACTATTCTGCATGTCTCTCTTTCTTGTATCCCCAACTCCAGGACAAACCAACAACACAGGAGCACCAACCGAGGATCCAGGAACAACCCAAAGTCCAACAATAACCAACGATCAAGGAGCATCAACCAACGACACAGGAGCACCAACCGAGGATCCAGGAACATCCCCAACTCCAGGACCAACCAACACGCCAGGACCAACCCCAACTGCAGGACCAACTAACACTCCAGGAACACCTCCAACTCCAGGACCGACCAACACTCCAGGAACACCCCCAGCTCCAGCAACAACCAACGACCCAGGAACACCCCCAACTCCAGGACAAACCAACGACCCAGGAACACCCCCAACTGCAGGACCAACCAACACTCCAGGAACACCCCCAGCTCCAGCAACAACCAACGACCCAGGAACACCCCCAACTGCAGGACCAACCAACACTCCAGGAACACCCCCAGCTCCAGCAACAACCAACGACCCAGGAACACCCCCAACTCCAGGAACAACCAACACTCCAGGAACACCCCCAACTCCAGAACAAACCAACGCTCCAGGACCAACAGACACTCCAGGACCAACCAATGCTCCAGGACAAACTAATGTTCCAGGACAAACCAACGCTGCAGGACAAACTGACGCTCCAGGACAAACCGACGCTCCAGGACAAACCGACGCTCCAGGGCAAACCGACGCTCCAGGACAAACCGACGCTCCAGGACAAACCGATGCTCCAGGACAAACCGACGCTCCAGGACAAACCGACGCTCCAGGACAAACCGACGCTCCAGGACAAACTGATGCTCCAGGACAAACCGACGCTCCAGGACAAACCGACGTTCCAGGACAAACCGACGCTCCAGGACAAACCGACGCTCCAGGGCAAACCAATGCTCCAGGAACAACCACATGTGGTAAAGATTTTTCCTTTAGCGTATGAATGATTAAATTGCTTTGATAGGGCTCACAAAGTAACTTTAGAAAGTGTGTTATAGGGTATTTTCTGAAAGGTTTCTTTGGTATGCATAAGTTTGCTCCCCATCAATACATTATTTACATTTCTTGAACACACCATCAAAATATACAACAACTCATGTATGGGCACAAGTTCATATTACAATGGGGGACAAGGAATTCCATACCTTTTGTTCTTTTGTAAATTTAATATGAATCGGTTACTTTTGTAATTTTTTTATGATAGCTGGTTTCCCAAATATGTTACGTCTTTGACATTTCTTGTACCCTTGGCATCCATAAGTTGTTCAGGAGTTACAAAGTTTGCGTATTATTTGTCATTATTTCTCCATGATTTTTTGAGAAAAAAAACCCACTTATTGCGTACATGCAATACAATGGGGGACAGGGAATATACCGTTTTCCTTTTTGAAATATGAATTAGTTTATTTGATGAGAATTGCTACGTCAAACGCTTAGTCTCATATCCGGCGGGAAATCAAAACCTTCAGTTATCAAAGGTTACATAGCAGTGATTTTATTTATTTATCACAAGGTATGTTACAACCATTTATTTTATTTAGTTATTGGCACGATATAACAAAACAATAGTTGACTGTCATGATGTGGGATATGCCATTTTTAACCCCCTGGGGAGCATAGCACCCTCGGCTTCGCCTCGGGTGCTATGGGCCCCTCGGATGTTAAAAACATCATACCATACATCACAGCAGTCACCAATTGTTAAATATCAAAATACACTGCATATAAAGTAATACAGTTTGGACATGACGGGGGTTGTCATGTCCCGGTTCGAATGAAATTGCCAAATTTATACTGATATTGTTTCTTTGTTTTCTTAGCAACACCAACTGTGAATGTGCCGACAGTCGATGGGCAGTGTTTAGCTGTTGGTGCAACCACACTTGATGTGACTTGGACCGCTGTAACTGCCACCAATGCTGGGGGTGCAAGCATCGCCTGTACTGATTCTGGAGGCGGAACTGGAGTGACGACCACTGGTGGCACCTTTGGGGCAGGATCACACACAATAACGTGCAGCGTTACCAATTCTGGCGGTTGCTCTGGCTCCAATACCTTCACATTTCTCGTAGCAGGTATGGACTGTTTTTAGACCTAATTCGAAAATAAGGGCAAAACGTGTTTTGAAATATTGATACTTAAAAGTGTTTAAGCTAAGTCTTGATCTGACCTCGTGGGTGAATAGATGTGAGCAGTTACAGAAAATGCCCAATTATTTGCAAAAATGCAGTGACTCAAATACGAGTCCAGGTTTTTTTGGGAAAAAATATTGCGCAGGCCGTACTTGCAATTCATAAGATTGCAATT